ACAAAATCTGGTCTAGGTCATGCTTCTAAGACTTCTTAAGATATATTTATAATACGTAAAAAAAAAATACAGACATGAAAATTAGTTTTAGAAGGGAACAAGACAGATGCAACACCATTTTCCTCTCGGTTCTCTAAAATTACTATTAGATCAAAGACAAGATGGTTTATATTAATACTATGAAAAGAAAATCATTTTTGAGTTATATAACTGATTTCCGCTTTTCTTTATGCAGCCGCTGTTTTTTGGTGACAAAGTAACTAAGCAGCCAGCTTGTTACCACAATGAACTTTTTGAAAGGGGAAAACGGAACCTGTGCAGACAAATGTAACCTCATTTGGAGCCCTAGAAAACACTGAACAATTTGTTGTGCTAGAACTGCTTCTCAGGAAATTGGTAACGCTTGAATTATGTCAGGCTAACAGATTGTTCTCGCATTTTGACGGGAGCATTACAGTAGCTTTAAATGTGTCTGCCGGTCTTTGATTGTGGATAGTCTGCCCACTGAGGATAGAGCTGCAGTCCCTCGCTCTTTTTGCTTTGCTTATCACTTAGCAAACTAGCAGGAGACCTGCCCTCATTTTGAACCAATCGAAACAAGCTGCCTCCAAACTGAGAGCCAATCGGCAGCAGGGTAGAGTGAGGGCTGGGTCCAGGGGGCAGCCCTGTAATCTGAATCCCGAGGTTATGTCACAGTGCTCCTATTCCAATAAATGTAATGGAAAAAAAATCCTTTCCTGGATTCTGAATCGACTGACACCCTTCCTCAGCCCTTACAAGGAAATAAATGTAACTGTTGGAGATTTCTCAAGGCATATTAGAGAACACATTGCTTCTCAGTGTATGCATGTCTTTGTTCTTTTTTGCATCTTTGACGGGCATCCAGTATGCTTTTCCCATTTGCCATGGCTAAAAAAGATGTTTGAAAGTGTAGTGCTGTTATAGCTTTGTGTTCATTAAACCAGAGCACAGCTGACTAAAGCAACGCTTTTAAAAAAAGCAAAACTCAGCACTGGAAAATCTATAAAAATAGAGGCTCCTGTGCCTTTGATTGGAAACGTGCCTCGGTATTGCCTGATGAACTGCAGTAACCTTAAGAGCAGCTGGGCGGTGCTTAGCACATAGCGCTCATGTCTCACCCAATCAAACAGGATCCTTCATGTCATGCCTCTGACTGAAAACCAATGAGAGTCACAACGTTTTATGGCTTGTACCAATCATTGAGCAGAGTTCTGTGGATCTGGCACAAGCCCAAGAACCACATCACATTGTTACAGCCACTCTGATCTTTTGTACCTTTGTATTGAAGACTGCATTGATATTTTCAATTATAAAAGAACAAAAGTCTATTCTCCTGAAGTAACATATTACAGAAGGAAAAGTAAAGAACTGGAAAGGTTGTATAAACTACAGATGTACATTTACATTTCTTGGCAATTGTTTCAACATAAAACAAACAAAAAATATGGCATTTGGATGGCAGAAATGGAAATTTTCAGTTGATTACACCACTCAAGGATTATACCCCAAAGAATTCTTAATTACAAACTACACTATGGTACACAGTTTACAATGACCGGACAAGAGATGCATGTTAATTCTTGGAAAAATACAATAATTAATTGATGTTAACATTAAAATCACAGGAATAGGCAAGACTCTATAAAAGGGCTCCGTTTACAGAACAGAGGCAGCCAGTATAAGCTACAGCTGCCACCATGTAGGTTCAGACCAGCTAAAGAAAAACAAAAGAAACAACCAAGGGGAATCAAAGGGAGAATACAAGGACTGTAGGTGGAGGCACAGTGGCAGGGAGGAAGCTGAAAAGGGACAAGATCATACAGCTCGCACACATGCAATTACACTCACACACCCAGCACTAAACTTAACCATAAGTAACCAAACTAAATATGAGACTTTTGGCATTTTTGATTCACAGATCTTTGTTGGGACCTGAAAAATGGTCCCCACAATGTCAAAATAACAGGTTTTTATTACATTGTGGGGGACATTGTGTAGGGAACACAAAACAGTGGTCAATATGAAGCACAAAGACAGTCGACCTCAGCAGTTCACTTTCCAATGGAGAATAACAACAACCAACAACACCACCACCACAATGCACTGCATAAACCCAGAGAAACACTGTTTCTAATAAACCCAGTTACACCAGGAAACAAAAAAGGGCACAAAGAAAACAACAGACAAGGCAAACACTCAAACTGAAATCATACACATACCCCACAAAAGGAAAATTCACCAATAGACGTTACAAAAATATAAATTTAACCAACAGAAAATGGTATTCTACATTAGAGTACTATATTGGGGTTTTCACCATTAGTCTGAGGAGGTGGGAAGTCTACTGTGTTACCACCCAAAACCAGCAAATAAACAACAAGCCTGAAACACGAATGGTTCTGAACAGACTTAACAAGTCAAGGAAAAAAATATATAAAACTACCTGGGCAATGAAACAGCCGACGGTGGCACAGGAGACCCGTCCGAGAGCCGGCGGAGCTCACAACCTTCCAGACACAGGCTCGCCACGATTACTCTGCCATCTAGGCGATGGAACAGCCGACGGCTGAACGGGAGACCCGTCCGAGAGCTCACACATCAGACCACCGGCCAGTGTGAACCACCGGTGGCCTTTGGTTGGCCTAATGGCTTCATCTGCAGCCTGCAAGTAAAGTGTGACTGACAGATTCCCTCTGCCAGCTCCGCAGTCTGATGCACCGCAAAAAGTGATGGCTACCAGACATGATGCATGCCACAAGAGGTTTATGCTAAACTGTACAGGCTATGGGAAATAGCCTGTACAGAACTATAGGTGTGATCCAAGCACACACACAGCTGCCACTCTTCTGGGAAGGCTGGCTTTCTACAAGACGTTGGAGTGTGTCTGTGGGAATTCTAGCCCATTCATCCATAAGAGCATTTGTGAGGTCAGGAACTGATGTTGGATGTGAAGGCCTGGCTCGCAATCTCTGTTCTAGTTCATCCCAAAGGTGTTTGATGGGGTTGAGATCAGGGAAAGATATAGTTACAAACCTCTGTGTGTATGTGTGTGTGGTGTGTGGGTGGATTATGTTTATATTACATTGTGGGGACCAAATGTCCCCCACAATGTAATAAAAACCTGTTATTTTGACTTTTTTGATTCAGAAATCTTTGTGGGGACCTGAAAAACGGTCCCCACAAAGATTTCTGGATCAATAAAGTAAAAATGCCATAAATCTCATATAACTTATGGTTACGGTTAAAGGTGGGATAGGTAGTGGTTAAGGTTGTCATCGTTGGGATTTGGGTTTTTCCCATAGAAATCAATGGAGAGTCTCGACAAAGATATGAATATAAATGTATGTGTGTGCCTCTGTTGAAGACAGATGGTGATGTACCCATAGGAGTAGCAGGACAGCATTGGTGTCCCTGTGTTCAGTCCAGACAATGACTCTCCATTCTGGTCTAATCTGTAAGAGCTGATGGGGTTTTTAATCCCTGGCAGCAGACATACCTACAACATCACCTGCGAAAGCAAGAGCAGGTGTCACTGACACATGGCCGCTTACTGTAAGCATCTATTACTGCCTTTTGGTTAAGCCTGTAACAGCTGCCAGCTGCTGTGAGATTTGCAGCTTTCTTTGCATGTTTCCAGCATCAGCCATACGCTTTGTGGAGGGTTCATACAGCACATTCTTCAAGCCTTCGACTGGGCTGCCACGTGTCTTTCCGTCGGTTGTAAGACTTCAGCTCGCGTCTCCTTTCCTTAGCCCAGGTTCCTTCAGTCCTAAAGAGTGTTTCAGTCTGTGCTTAATAGAAACCTCACTATTGTGTTAGCATGGTAATGAATGCATGATGCTTTATTAGCTCTGTGCCAACAGTAACACTAATTATTTAGATACTAAAATTCAAAACCGGCCTCAACTTTTGCAACACATGGGTGGGACGGCTCAAGTGATGTGCGCAGACTTGATGATTTGAGCTTGTTTTCAACACCTTTTTACTAGTATTGCCATACTGACTGCTTTTGCAAAGTGATCTACATACTGTTGGTAAATGTCCAAACTAAACTACAGGCTTTGTTATGGATGTCATTGACCTCAGCAGTGTCTGTATGGTCCGCTGATGAAATGAAATTGACAACGATCCAAGTAAATCCTTATTTAGATCCTACTGATAATGCACCTCAGCATGCAATCCATAAGGAGCCCCTCAGTAAGTCTGGAGATTCGGCGTGGAGGGCGGGCCTTCGGCAGCCGACATACCAGATTGATACAGACACAGCAAAATACTTGGGCTTGTAATTCTGGCTTTCACCAATCAAGTAGTTTTACTTTAACAGTTGTAAAAGTATTCATGTAAAGAAGCATCAATGCACTATTATATGTCATTTCACAAGCTTGGGTAGAAGGGCTGTGTGGGCTCCCAAAACTCCAAGGTTAGCCTCTGGATTTTTGTCATCTCCGGAACTCACAAGTTCGTCTGTGGAAAAGGACTGCATTTTTCCAGAGAAAAAAAACAATCCATTAACGGAGAAGCTAGCACAGTACAACGACGGCCAGGAGGGTTACTGAGTACCTTTGCAAAACAACATTAATTACACTCTTAAAACTGGACAGACAGAAGAACAGGAGTAAGCGAAGTGTCCTTAGGCATACAGTACCTGCTAAGGTTGTCTGAAGCACAATTTCTAGGTGGAGAATTTTTTTCCTATTGTTAATTGTATGCTGCACCCTATTATGTCCAAAATATGATTAATACACAGAATGCGTGGTGTACTTTGAGTGTCAGAGCTTTAATTGCGCAGAAATGTCTTCTTTCTGCCAATTTAGTTTTGAAAACCGAATTATAAACTTGACTCATCCCTTCGGTTGCAAGCGCCCCCTTGTGGACACTAAGAATGAAAGACATTTTTATATACTGACGATAATTTTGATATGGAAAATAAGTAGGACGATTAGAACTAAAAAGGTACATATGGACAAACATATACCAGATTTGCACAATGGAGATAATAAAGTTTTATTTTTTCCCTTATTTTCCATAAAAATGACATAAAAAGGTTACCTTCATCCTGAAAGGGCTCTGTTCTTGTGAAGTGTTGTCAAAAATGTTTAGAGGTCACTTAGTATGCCCTTATATAATGATCAAAATTAATTGTATGAAAGGAAAGATATTCCCTTTCCTTCCATTTATATCCCTTATTTTCAATTATGTTTTATTGGTTTCATTTCAGACACAATGACTGTTACTGATTGTCAAAAAAGACATAGCACCAGTACAATAAAACTGTACGCTGCCTTATTAAAATCCGAATGGTATAACAAGCCAGTAATTCTATTAATGAACAAATAATTATACTTACTGTACAATACCTCAAACAAAGCACCAACCACACAGCTTAAATTAAATGAACTGTCAACTGCACAAAAAATGCAAAAAGTCAAATATATTAACTGTAATGCCTAATGTACAAAAGAACGCAAATGAAACAGGAGGCCAGAGACCACACTCAGCATCATGACAAGGCTCTAATCTCAGAAGCTTTTGACCTATGGAGCATCATGTCCTACAGTATCTCTGGTCCTAGGGAGCAATTTGGGACATGAGATGGGTTATTCTGTGGGCTCCAGATCCCGTTTTCATCTTTAGGGACAGTCTTCAGGGACAGTGCCTTAGTTCATGTTCATTTTAAGCAAAAGTGCCGCCCTTTTCGCGAGACCATTGCGGAGCAAACTGATTCATCAGCGACACCAGCAACGCAGGGATATTTGGCGGAAACCTCTTTCAGTGCATGTTTTGAAGATAAAAATATTTCAACAATGCCTGACATCAGGAAAGTGCAAATTGATCGTGGACCAGTTACTAAACAGCAGTTAAACAAACATCTTTGTTAAATCTGAGCACATTGGCTGATGTGCAGCATATTATAAAAAAAATCAATGCTGAACAAGTTATTAACTACCAAAGAAAAATGGGAGAAATTCTCAATTAGTTATTTCCACTCAAAAACATCACATTTAATTTTACTTTAGAAATCATGACTAAAATTACATAGCGACCAACTGGACAGACAAATCAAAAAAATGGAAAATCAATTAGAGCTGGACGTTCAATCATGGTCACCGACACTGGAAAGCAGAGCAGGAACACATCATGTTATTTCCGTTCACTGGGTATTTTCATAGCTGATGGGCCCACAGTTGGTGCAGAAATAGGATTTCCTACTAGTTATCAGCATCAAACCTCGAAGCTACAGATCAGTTACCTTGGTTTCACAGCTAAAGAAAAATACCCGTAACAGAACAGAACACAACAATCATATTGTGTTAACCCTGACGGTAAGAATTCTATATATTCCTTTGTGCATATCAAAGGGGTTAAAATTAAACAGACAATAAAATAGCTAAATAGTGAAACCTGAAAGTTGAGTTCTGAATTGCCTGCCCCATAGTGCTTACCTCCGCCCACTAATTAAAAGGCCACGCCACAGCAATTAGCGATTATGTTCTCCTCTTCAAAAGGTCTATCTTCATAAACAGCGTTCATTGCCCAGGAGAGACACATTCAAAGATGCCCGCCCTCCCACTGACAATATGAAGTATTAATTGCTGGTTTTAGTTGTGTTTGTCTTGATGTGACAGGCCTCAATTCATTAACAGGACCCAGCCGATCTCGTTTTAACAGGACTCGGCACAACAGGAAGCTGATACGGGAGGGAATCTTTAGGGAGAGGGTTGAGCCGATAGGCTTGGGGGAGGCGACCGGCTCCAAGGACCGGCAGAGTCTGTTGACGCTTCCCTTGTGAGACAATGAACTGTGGAGCCAAGCAGTCGCTGCAGGTCAGGAACGCATTTTACCAGCTGAACCAGGCCGTCGTCCAGTTTTTTGGCTGGCTGAAGGTTCCCGGGTAGCGGCGTGAGCTGGCTGACAGATGCCTGCCTCTGCAGTTCCGAGCACGGGACACCCACCACTTGAAAATGGGGGTAACGGGCTTGAAAAAGACGCGCCGAGGTCTTAAGGCGTCTCAAGACGTCCGTTAGCAGGAACCAGTTGCAATAACTGTGAATGGACAAGAGAAGCAAGTTATGAATTTAAAAAAGACAGAATTCCTTAAGCTGTGTTTTTATATACAGACGCTGCTCTACTTACGGATGAGATACGTTCCGAATGGCCGTTCGTAATTTGAAATGTTCATAAGTTGTTATTCCACATCATTTTAAGGGTATATGCAAGTACGTACTAAGAACTAGGATGCTGGGAGTTTGCACGCTACACTGAGGGAGTAGCGGCCAGAAGTCATACTAGGCGGAAATGGCGCGCAGAAAAAAAAATTGATGTTGCGGACAGGAAACGGGAGCCCAAGGAACACAATTTGGACTTACAGTCCTCTTCGTTCATATGTCTGAAAGTTCATAAGTTGAAAGTTTGTAAATAGAGGAGCATCTGTATATATAAAAGAATATATAAATGGATGCTGCTGTGCTAACAAAGTGTATGTGCAGCGATGGACCAGTCCCCCATACGTATTCCCTGTCTGGGGAATTCAATAAATAAGTACAATGGAAATCGAAAATATCTGAGTACAATCGAAAATATTTGAGAGAAAAAAATCTATAAAGTTCCAAAAAGTGAAACTTGAATTTGCTGCACTATGTTGAATCTATCCATCCATCCATTATCTATAACACTTAATCCATCTGGGTCATGGGGAAGCTGGAGCCAATCCCAGCATCTCCGGGCGAGAGGCAGGGTACACCCTGGGCAGGTCGCTAGTCCACCACAGAGCCAACACAGACAAACAGCCACACACACTCGCAGTCATACCTATGGGCATTTTAGAGTAGCCAGTTAACCTAAGCTGCATGGGAGGAAAACCAGAGCACACCCACGAATGCACGGGGAGAACATGCAAACTCCACACAGAAAGGCACCCTGGGTGACCTGTGGATCAAACCCAGGACCTTCTTGCTGTAAGGCGACAGTGCTAACGACTGCACCACTGTGCCAACCACTGCACCACTGCGCCGCCCATGCTGAATCCAGACCAATGAAATGTGAATTTTCTCCATTTCTATTATGAGGGTTGTGTCTGTACTGAACATGTAGACTCTTTTCTTATCATTATTCACTAAACAGTAAATTAACAACAATTTACATGGCATTGACACTGAAATAGGTATTATAACTAATCTAGAGATGATTTAAAGTATTCCGGACGATAAGTGTAGGTTATATGCCAATGCTATGCCATTTCAGGGACATTTTTTCTCTGAACTGCGAACTTACCCCTGAAACAGGGACACCTGGATGTGGTAACAGGGTATGTGGGGCTCATCTGAGAGCTCAAACAGCAGACAGTCTCCCGCCTCGGCCTCCACTGCCTTGTCCCCGTTACCCCTCTCCCCCTCGTCCCCCTCTGGCACAGAGAGCAGGAAGTTCCAGCATGCCTTTTCTTCTGTTTCTGCAAAAGCACAGAGCTTCCAGTGAGCTTCCAGTGAGCCGTGAGCTACCAGCATTGACTTCTGCTTGGCTCCTATGAGCTTAACGCTCCCTCTAGTGGCAGTGGAAAGCTGTGCATGTATTTAACATTTTGTAGTCCTCGTATGGCATGCAGTCAAGCCAAATGGCAGCTCCAAATTCTCTGTTATGTGTACGTGAGTATGTGTGAGTATGGGCTCCTTTATCAATATTGAACCTTTATCAATATTCAAAGATTGAAGCACCTCAAGGCATACCTACCAAATTAATAGTGATGACTACATTGGATGATTAGCCATTTTCCGCATTGGAGGATGAGGGATTTCGTTGGCTCATTCACTACTTAAAAAAGGCCTCAAAGATGCAGCCGGCGAAGCAGCACTACATGGACCACAGCACATTTTAAATTCTTTATTAAATCTGGCCCACAGATTGATCTTTTCTTTTCCACAGAATAAAAAATGATGTAACGCTATTGCGCTAATCTGCCCCATCTCACCGCTGCTCAGCAAGTAGCTCAGGGGTTAGCCGGATATTGGTATTGGCAATATCATTCAAAAAATGTATCAGTACAATATTCTGCCCTGATGTTACAGATATACAAATCCCTGCACGGGTCATGGACAGTTGTGTGTGTGTGTGTGTGTGTGTGTACGCATAATTTAGCTTAAGGTGCCCACAAAATACTAAATTGAGCTCACAAAATCACTAAAATGTGCCCATGGTTTACGTTTTTCGTCCTCTCAGTTTGCTATTTCAAGCTCTAGAATTAATTATGTTGTGCTCACGTTTTTGGTATTTGTGCGGCAAAGTGAGAAGCTGGAGTCTTAGAACTGCATCAAATCATCTGCATATAATGCGCAGGGAAATTAGTTGTAAATAAATAGTTGCTGAAATAAAATAAAAGGCAAATTCATAAAAGATACATAAATTTGTAAAAGGTAAATTGTAAGCTAAATTGTACGCACAGTTTAGTACATCATGCACACAAAATTAAAAAAATTAAAAAAAAAACAAAGCTGTTTGTGGTCCCTCAGATCAAAGCAGCTGAATCGCCACCTTAATAATCCATTCAACACGATGCACTGATGCATCTTTACAACCCTACCAGTCAGGCATAGTAGAGCATCCTTAGGAATACAATCCCAGAAACATTTACACTTAACTTTAAACCTTCAACTGGAACAAGTAATATTTTTCCCCACCCACCATGTTATTGCATATGCAACGGTTTGAAAATAAGCAGTATTTTCATGTCTTACCAAACAAAATGCTGCTGTAGAAATCCCAGTGTAGGCGGGGGTCCTGATCGGGCCGCCCCTCCTGGTCAGCGAAGTATTCTGAAGAAAAAGGCGAAAGAGACACTTTATTAGAGTAACTCATTTAGCAAGTTTAACATCAGAAAAAATATTAACAGATCCCAATACATTACTGGATATTCTAAATGCATTTATTCATTGTACTGTAAGATTAACATAATCAATACATTATGCGTGTATATATTTACTTGCCTTGAAGTCAAACATAGCAGATCAAACCCTACTGCATGAATCAATTCAGTCATGCATCAGTAATTTATAACACTGCACCTCCATGCCATACCAAACTCTCTCTGTCCCAATCAGGGTCAATAACCATGCCAGGTCACTCAAGTGTGATTCTTTTAAGCAGACTTAAGCATCCAAGATAAGACATAATCATTTGCACGAGTTCCCCAACTGTGCCCGAACTCTCGGGGTCTAATTTGAACCATGTCATTTTTATACTGGTGTTTGTAATAGCACTGCAATGGCTAGTTACCCATGAGGAAGGACTGCATGTTGGTGCTCTGAGCCAGTTTAAGTGCCGTCTGTCCCGAGTATGTGGCCAAAGTGGGATCTGCTCCATGATTCAGCAGCATCCACACTACGCTCAGGTTATCGTTGACCACCGCATCATGAATTGGCCTGAAAAGCAACATTGAATATCCAGAAATTCGAGTGTAAATTCCAGTGCTTTTCTTACTCCCGAACTCAGTGCCTCACTACCCGAACGCTTGAGCGAGGCCCACCGTGTGCCGTCCTGAGCCCCACAGTTCACATCAGCGCCATGGTCCAGCAGCACCTGCACGATGTGCGCCCAGCCTCGTGCACAGGCCTTGTGGAGAGCACTGTAGCCCGCGTTGTCACGCCTGTTTAGCTCCTGCGGGTCCTTCTGCAGGCAGTACAGCACCACCTCCTGCAAGGTCAAACCCAGAGCTGCGCTAAAGGAGCCAGATGCCTTTGGCTGCGGGCAGTGTGTGGAGCTTCCGGCGGGGGCAGCAGTACCTCATATCCCAGTCGGGACGCCCTCTGCAGCAAGGTTTCCCCTGCGTTCTTGTTGACGATGAGCCGTCGCACCTCTGGAGGGACGACCCGTCCGGGGGGGGATTTCAAGATCCTGGCCTTCTCAACACCCCCTCTCCAGTTAGGGGTGGTGGGGGACACCGAGGAAGGTCTCTTTGCAGGGGGCGTGCTGCCGCAAACAATGGGAGGTGTGGGACGCTTACCCAGGCATCCCCGTTTAGTCTTGAGCTGCAGTGGAGTTGCCTGTCAGCATAGCACAGTACAGTACAGTACAGTAGCATTTCATAGCATAGCATAGTATAGTATAATACTGTAACATGGTATAGTAGCATAGCATAGTAGCCTAGTATAGTATAGTATAGTATAGTATAGCAATTCAAGGTACATACAGCTCACATCAGTACTATGAGTACCACCCCTACTGACTGACTGACTGCCTTTTTAATACTTCTACTACTGACTCCTTTGCTCAAGTGTACGTCAAAATATACTAGAAAAAATGTTGGCATCCATGCACAATTTTTCAAATAATTGACTACTTATTCCAGGTAATCCTTTAATAATCATATGTACATTTACAAAGAAGTAATTTACTAATTCTTAGCTCCTTGCAAAACAAATCCTAAAATGCCATGGAAAAGATCGTTGGCACCTTCTGGAAGTGCCTCTATTGGCACCTTCTGGCAGTGCCTCTATTGGCACCTTCTGGCAGTGCCTCTATTGGCACCTTCTGGCAGTGCCTCTATTGGCACCTTCTGGCAGTGCCTCAATTTCAAGCAGGTGATTCAACTCGACTATAGGACAGAACTCATCTGTGGCGAGTTTGGCTGGCCTGCGGTGTAAATTTCACTCGTTCATCCTGTCTGTACATAAAAAAGGACTCAGTCTCCTATTTTGCCCACCCTGTGTAGCACAAGCAAAGTGCAATAAAAGAAAACCAAAGAACTGAAGAGGTCAGACACAAAATTGTAGCCAAGCATAGATAGGATTCTTTGAATGGTGGAGAAAGCAACTTAATCAACTGCGTCAGAGACTCAAGTAGATATTTAGACGCAATGTATGATCTGCTTGTTAAGTCACAATGCTTGAACCACGTGACAATAATGTTTTCGGGGCCAACCTGGGAACAAGCTAATATGCTGCGGTGACAAGCCTCAGTGTTTTAATTGATCTGAAACCAAAAAAAAAAAAAAACCTAAAGATCTTCCCCTACAACTGCTTTCCATGCGACGAGAGAGAAGAGGAAGAGGCTGTGTAAACTATACGGCCATCTTTCACAATATTTCATCTTTAGTATTAGTGGGGTAACGGCACACAATTGTCACGGTTTGTTATAAACCTCGGTTTTGGGGTGCAATGTCAGTGCAACAGGAAAACAGAATTTGTTCTGAAAATATTTCATATTAAGACTGCATTAAATTGCACTAAATTGTGCTTCATTTGCAGTATTTAGGTTAAAATGTGCAGCAATTTCTTGTCATAGCAGTGCCAATGCACATAAAATATTGCCGATGCACATAAAATATTGAACCATGTCATTTTAATACTGGTGTTTGTAATAGCACTGCAATGGCTAGTTACCCATGAGGAAGGACTGCATGTTGGTGCTCTGAGCCAGTTTAAGTGCCGTCTGTCCCGAGTATGTGGCCAAAGTGGGATCTGCTCCATGATTCAGCAGCATCCACACTTCATTTGCAGTAATTAGGTTAAAATGTGCAGTAATTTCTTGTCATAGCAGTGCCGATGCACAGAAAATATGTTCGCATATGTGCTGTTGCAACAATCGATTGCTGCACGTATGGCTTTTAAAGGTGGATGTGAACTTGCCTACCAGTTATGTGTATCCCTAGTTACAAGCTCAGGAAGACATCACTGCTGAGAAAAAGAGCATTTTTGCCAAATTAGAGCTACTTGGTAAAGCACAAAATCTCTACGTATAAATAAAACAAAAGGAAGCCTTCAAAGAGAATCACACTTTCCCTTTAAACAGAGCAAAGGCTACGTAATATTTTGGCTTAGCTATGCAGCATGTAAGGAATATGTGCTTTGAATGTATCATGAAATCAAGGCATTTCTGAGCACAGCAGTGCTGAAGGTCATGACAATGAAGGTCTCGCAGCATGACAATGAACATACTTCAAAAAGTACTGAAGAATGGTTGATAGCAGAATTATGGACAATACGGACTATGGTTCTGAAGTTGTCAGAAATGGGTCCAGATGTAAAGTCAAATCTGAGAGAACCAGAGCAGTTTGGGCAAGATGAAGGGGCCCGCTGCAGCCTAAGGTGCTTCCCATGCGACGGGAGAGAGAGAAGAGGAAGAGGCTGTGTAAACTATACAGCCATCTTTCACATGGCTTGCCATAGAAACTGCAACCAAAAAATAAAGTCTGTGGGGTCAGGTATTTTTTCAATGCAGTTATTATAATTATATAATTTAAAAGCAATATTAGCCAATAAATAAAGAACTGTGAAGATGAAATACAATTTCAACTTACACTTGGGAAAAAAAATTATCTATTTGCAAAGTGTATAGTGTCAATATTTTTGTCGATGATAATCTGTATATCTCCACCCCACACCGACAATCAGACTATGTATGAAAGGTGAAAGCCTCCATTACCTGAAATACTTTCATCCGGCACTGATGGCGATAACTTCCTACCTTTTTTCTCTCCTCTTTGCGGCCTAAGTGCTTGCTTTTGAACTTCCTTTTCCCAGAGGGTTTGTCAGCAAGCCTGGGGGGGCTGCAGATATCCTGGCACCTGGAGGACCCTGAGCGGGTGAGCGGTGGTCTCTTAGGGCAGCCACTGGGGCCATCAGGCTGACAGGGTGGTGTCGCTCTCATCGGGTCTAAACAGTCACAAGCAGCGTCAGGCCTCATATCTATGCAAAGCCAGAGGTGGAAATTTCAGGTCCAAAAAGTAAAAATCCAGGCTGTGATGTTGTTGAGATCTGTGTGAAGCTGACTCTTTATACACAACTAGTTGACTGAAACAAAATCACTGTCTGGATTTTTACTATCATGACCTGAAATTTCCACCTCTGCTCATAGCTAACAGAAAATACAAACAAACGTAAAAACATATCATTGTTGCAAAATGTATTGGAATCATCTGTGGTAGCACATAACAACATCTTCAGCTTATTCAGAATCATGGCTATTCCCTCCATAACGTACAAACACCTACATACTTTCAGGCTGCTGGTGAAGAACCAGGTTAGAGCCAGTGCATGAACACTCTCGAGGTCCAATAAGAACTTTAAAAAGCAATCCAACTGATCTTTGAGGAATTTGCATCACAGCCATTTTTACCTGTCGTACCACGAGCAGCTCGCCTTGTAGACACGGACTTTTTGCTTGTGACTTGTTCTACTTTGACTCTCTCCATGACGTACTCCTCATTTCGGTACCTCCTGTTCCTGCATCTCTTTCGTTTCTTCCTTGGTTCCGTGTCTCGCTGGCTCCTGCGCATGGCCGTCTCAGCATCACATTTCGCTTGGTTGGACAGGCCACTGGAGCGTGGTCTCCCGCGCGGCCGGCGGGCCGAGGAGGGCGAGGGAGTGGCAGAGCGGGACGTCAAGCTGTGGCCACCTGCCTCGACCTTCGCTGTTCTCCGGCGTCCCCTGCTTGACCTCGGAGCCGGGGGCCACCCAGGAATCACACTGCTGGGCTCCAGCTTGGTGTCCCCCGCAGTCTCGCGAAGCACAGGGAGGCTGCTCACGTTACCTTTGGAAGATACACCAACCCATTTTCTGAAAACGGCAATGTTTTGACCTAGCTAAGAGGAAACTAAGAGCGATACGATACTTATATAGACCATGTCGAATGCTGTGACGCATCATACAGGCCAGCAAAGGCCACATGATGAATACCTGCTTCAAGGTGAAGCAGCGCTTCCGCCACAGTGACACTGCACCTCCCCCCTTGACGCCTCTTGCCCCCCTTGGATTCTGGCAGCTTTGGCTCCAGTGCAGGTGCCAATTGGTTCTTCTGCTGCAATAAATACGGTGCTATCTGTTCACACTGGATGAGTCTATTTACAGAACATTTGTTCTACTTCAGTAACATCAGAAATATGATGTTCTAAATATTAAAAAGAAACAGTACCCAGTATGATTATTTAACATATCATAAACTAAGTATATTCCATATCCATACGTAAGTATATATTGTGAGCTCATATTTTTCTAAAACATCTTAACAATTAAATTCCAAATAAATTCAAAGTCCAAATTTGTAAGACTTACTTTCTTTGTCTGCTTCTTCCTCTTGACTATTGGGATCTTCCTCTTGTGTTTTACAATGCCCATCGTGGTCTTCTTTGAAGCCTCCTTTTGTGCTTCATCTTGCTTACTCATACGACATTTTTTATTCTTGTTTATTGCAACTTTCTCTGAGGAAGAAGTCTGGCTCACACCACCCGTTATACTTATTTCTCTCCCTGAACACTGACCATTGAGTATGGAAAAGCCAATGCCATCTACTTTTGAGTCTGGAGAGAGACCCTGTACAAGTTGCTGTCCATTTTTCTCTCTTTCCCCTGACAGCTGGATTAACTCTTTTTTCCCCCTGCCAATACGACCAAGGTCTCCGGACATCTGGAGGCGGATGGTCTGTCTAGACTTTACAGACGAGTCTCTTGTTTCTGGATCTTCATCTTGATGATGTTTCTCTGTGGTGTTGTATGTAGACTCTGCAATATTCCTGGTCAGACCTGTAGGAATCCTACCTGGTTGACAGTTATCCTGTCTTCCATCTCTCTTTCTTTCATTTGTAAAAGAGGTGCACTTTGCTGTATGCTGAATTGGGTCGTCACGGTGACCAGCAGTCAAAACTGTTCCTTCAGACTTTCTTGGCTCTGTAGCTGCCTGATTACCACAGCCCTTGTTTATATTGCTTGATGTTTCTAGGGATCCTTGTTCTACTATGGTCTCAAGCTTGAGCGAAGAGGACTTAGACCTTCCCACCTTCTCCTCCACCTTCTTGAGTGGGCTCTGACTGGATGCTCCCAGACGTCGGACAGGAAGTAATTGCTTGCTTTTTGGAGAACGCGAGACAGTTTGTTTCCCGCCGCTGAGCTTACCGTTTACACCGACCTGTGGACTGGCGGTACTCAGGATAACATTCGAAGAAGCATGCTTGGATTGGCACTGCTGTAATCCAGCTTCATGAGTGTTACTGGAAAATTTGTAATGTCTCTGCTTTGAATCCCTGGTACGAGATGATGCTTTTTTCCTGCTTGAAAGTGGCTGCTCTCCTTGGTCGATAATAGATATTATCTCTGGCCTGCCTAAGTCCTGAATGTCTTCTATAAATGCAATACCTTTCCCATCATTAGTACGCAAGGTGGAAGCTAAAACTGGATTAGCAATGCCCACATACGTCCCCAGAAGGCTTACTGGGCTTTTCGTATTTTGTATCTGAATTTTGGCCCAAGCTACAGATGGTTCCAAGACTGGATGATTCAACTGGGTAAAAGAATTCTTTGGAAGTCCACCATTTGCCATGGTGTCTGACAGAACTGCATAAGGGATATTGGGTACGAAACTGCTTGCCGGTGTCTGAAGAACCTCCTTAGGAGATATGGTATCATTTGGCTTAGATTCCAGATGACCCCCCGCTTGTAATATTTTCTGAACCTGCACAGTGTTTTTTTGGTGTTTTGAATTTGAAGACAGATCAAGCGGTATGTCCTTCACTTCACCTGGGCATGCCTCCGTTTGCTCCTCTGTTCCACGCGGGGACTCCAAACTTGTGGAGGGTGATGATATATTTTTATCACTGCGATTCAAGGAACATTTGCCCTTCTCATTCAGCAGCCTGTTTTGTGCAGTCAAATGTGCTTCGGCTGAGCTGCAGCACGTTTCGGAGGATGGAGTAAGTGAAAGAGGTACCAGAGAAGCGGAGCCTGGTGCCGGCTGCTTTAATGGGGCAGGAGCATCGAGACGGGACTCAGCATCTTCAGCCAAATTGCCATCTTTTCCAGCTATGACATTCTTCTTGGTGGATGCAGAGCAACACATGGGTTTCAATGCCTTAAAAGAGAGTTGAGTTTCAGGTGCCAAGGCTCTACCCACAGTGAGGTGCTGAGGACAGGGCTGAGACTCTGCAGCCATATCACGGCTAGAGTCTTTTAGGTGACACTCAGTGCTGCATTTGGTAGCTGGAACTTTTCTTAAAACAGTAATCTGGTCCAAATTGGAGGGAAGTGTTATACTACCCAACTGACAGCTGAGATTAGGCTGTAAAAGGAAAGCTATGGGCTGGCCTGTTTGAAACTGTGAACATCGAGAACTCGAAAGGCTTGTGGACTGAGTCTGCGTGTGGGTCTTCTTGGCCGGATGTGCGAGATTTGAGTTCAGAGGGACTTCCTGGCTGTCCCTTTCTCCACCTGGTCTTTGCTGTGTTGGAAAGACCTCAACATTCTCTGCGTGTTTAGAGGTTTCTGCTTCCTCCGACACCACAGTACTCCTTGGAATCGGGTCTAATAGAGGGGTGCCGCCACACGGATAAGTGAGTGGAGCCTCTAGATAGTGTTTTAAATGACTACCTTTCACAGACACACAGTTATTCAGATCTTCTGTAGGACCTCGTTTGCAGCTAAGGGCTCTATCAGGAGCACATTCTGGAGTTAAAGGCTGAGACACTGGGTTGCCCACCATACTCTTGCTCTCCTTAGGTCCACCTTCCTCTCTGCCCACTTTTCCTTTATCTCCTACATGCATCTGAAGGGGGTCCACCTGGGCAACAACAAAAGCACAAAGTCCCTGCACATGGCACATAATATTGGTTTCCTGAAATCACCAATCCAATCCCTTTGCTGGCCTTTCAATAAAGCCTGCAACAGCGACAGATGCATATGTGTAAAAGCCTAAAATGACCTGTTGGATGGGATGCACAAAATGTACTACAGCTTATCAGGTTATACAAGAGACTTTCACTGATCTTTCTCTATTCATATGTACTCCAGTTTTACTGTAATACAATCTAATACCATAGTACAGTTGTTTGACTAATGTGTTTCTACGGTTACATTAAATTCCACAGAGGAAAGAAAGTTACAGTACCTGCATATGAGAGATGTTAACACATTTCTTATGGGATGGTGACCGTAGATCTGTACCAGAGGAGTTTTCTTTAGTATTTGATACTCCACTGTGTAGCAAGAGAGTGCAGAAAGATTTCACTGAACTTACTGCACATACATGTCAGCCCCCCTAATCTGACCAGACATTTGTGTAGAAGCTCTTCCCTGTGCCACTGATCATGGCTACGCGTCTATGACTACATACCCAACATTTTATCAAACTAAAGAATAACTGTGATGCATTGTAGACTGTGCACAAGTTTAAACTGATACTTCTTACACTTTGTTGTTTTCCTTGTTCAGTTTTTGTGAGTATGTGCACCACATTACGAATAAAACATTATATTATGCTGGAAGAATCCCAAACATGTATCAAATGGAAGAGACTCAGCAGGAAAATCATTAACATATTTTCATTTTGAGATCTGAGGAGAATTTGGTTCCCGCCTAGACATTACTCACGTCATCACCTGTTAGCATTAAATTCTTTTTCCCTCACCCTTTTTGGTAATTTTGGTATTATATAATACAGCGGGGGTGGCCAATTATGTGCTTTGATGACTACAGGATCGGATTGTTTTTCAAGCATCACAGCAACAAATTAATTAATGGGTGATTAATCAATCAACTGGCGAATTAGCCCATTTAATGCTGGGTCATAAAAATAACTGGAACTCCTGATCCATGCCTGATCGCAATGATAATTTAAGGTAGAAATGGCTGAAACAGAAAAGCGAGTTTACAGATGCTCTATGCAATGGGACCTGAACATGTGTGATAAGCTTTACGTGACCCTCACTCACCGCTCTTCGCCGATGGTACACAAGTGGATGTGATCGAGCCAGCCATGTACACTGCTGCAGAGATGGGGTGCAGAAACCATGGCAGATGAGAAAGGCAGTAACTTGTTTAAGGGGAGACTCTCTTCTCACGGACTGACCACATACACTGCAATGATCACAGGCAAGGGGTGAAGGAGAAGACAGTGAGCGAACTGATCAGGTAAACCATCATGCTCAAAATAAAACCTCATTTACCTGAAAAATTCTTATTTCACTTCATCTACAAGTATGCTTGCCATTTAGGCAACCTTAAATATACATCATACAAAACTGGTCATTGAAGGACTCCAACAGATAATACTCTTATGATCTGTATATGTTTGAAGCAAAAGCTGCAAAAAGCAGGACAAGTATCATGATCATGTGCTAAATGAAAATAAGAATAAACGGAAATGGAACATTATTTTCAACATTATATAACACTTCAAGGCTCGCGGTTATTTGTATGCGTCTATACGCTTTTACACACTAACAAACAGAGCATCACAATGCAAAAAACATGCTCAAGTTCGCTGTTCACTGGGCCACGTAGATCCATAGATGTCAGCAATTAAACATTTTCACACAGCACTCCGTTAATATAACAGGTTCCCGGTAACTCCGGTTTAGTCACTGCAGGGAAGTTTCTAGCTGCTGAAAAGATCAGGGGCTTGTCAAGTTTACCCGGGGTTTAGCTTTTTTGTTTTTGAAGGAAGATTGGTACCGGGACTAAAATACTGCTAACATATCGGACCTAGCGACGCCCATGGGTCACCGTATGGTGAAGACATTGGAACACGCATGTCTGAGTCCACGTTCACCGGGATCGTTTAAATTTATAATTCTTGTTCAGATTAAATTATTGATATAGTGCATTCGATGCTCTTAAACATTATATGTCACTTCCCTTCATACTGATTTTACGCATTCATATACAATATGTGTCTATAGATCCGTTCACCTGTGACAGTCATGAAAAACATTGCAGGAAAGGAATTGTCGTAAAACCATTACATGTCTTTTTCATATGCAGACCTGACGTTTAAAGTTTGCCAACTGTCAAAATTGTATTTCCCTAAATCGACTTCAAACGGACATCGTGCACACACATGTAACACACAATAGGAAGAAACAATGTAGAATAATTATTAACACACGGCCATAACAATAGACACTTTAAACGCAACGTATCAAAGTCACAATTGAGGCAAAGTACCGGGAATGCAATTGATTGTTTTTTTTAAATCACGTTTAACAGCATATGTTTTTAGTGGGAAAATGACACTTTTCTATCGACGTTTTAGTGTTTAAAATACTACCTAACCATGATGCAAATAAAAATTCTTTTAACCATCAGCAAAAAATGAACTTTATGTTACACTGACCATAAAACAAGTGAACAATGGCAGTACTTTCGATGTGATCAAAATAACATGCCATCCCTTAAGATCCTGCGCAACGAAGTCAACCTTTCGCTAGCTATCGCCGCACTTACTGATCGATCTGCAAGTCACACATTGCTTGACAATGCTGAAATGTGTCATACATGGACCTCTAACATTCATCTCCTTCGGCGGACCTAGACTGGCTTCATAAAATAAGATCACACCGGACCAAACCTAATCCGTCTGATCTGACTTCGACGCTCAATTATTCGCAAAAAATATGATTAGCAAGCAATGACAATTTGCGACTGTTAACATAACCATTTCTCTCGTAGTGAAAAGATTTAAAATCACATACAAAACAAGTGAATTTCTTATTTTTTCGTTCACGTCCGCTGGAGTTCTATAATCTTCCCCGTTTTCGGTTCCGAAAGTCCAGGGGGGTTTTGGCAAGGCAGCCCGTACCGTATCTCTGTCTCTGATGGGAGAGTGTGGTAACTCGCTAGCTGCGGCTTCTGGGATGTGTAGTTTTTAGGTACCCGCGACTTTTCGTTCGCAGAGCGAAAAAGGGAGGAGCACGGACTACAAACGCCAGCATGGAACGCGAGTCCTAGCCACTCGAGGGGAAAAGGGATCGCAACGGTGCGCTAAACTGAAAAAGCCGTGGTGGAAAAGTGAAAATACATAGTATCATAATAAAGACATCAGGTGCCGTACAATTTGTGCATGTTAGATTCCATATATTATGTATCTTTTTATGCGAATTGCAGAAGTTATCCCGAAGTGGTTAGCTAAAGAGGAGGAGGCATTTGCAAAGGTAGCTCTTGCGTTGCAGCAAAACTAACACACGAGGGAGACCGCAGAGGGTGCGGAAAGAATTCGTAACTAAAATGCCGAAAACTGACATGAATGCATCGGACAAAAGAAGATAAGGACGACCACAAAGAATAATATACGATAATAACACTAGCTAGATATGGATTTATAAATTGAACCGAGAGAAACGCCGGGAGAACCGGGAGAATCGACGAATAACTTTGCGCTCCATTATTGCTTATTACGTTCGTGCGGTTGAAGATGTTGATACACATAGCTATTTCGTAAATGAAACCGAATGGAAAACAGTGCTGAGTTTAAGCTGCACATCACAACTGTAAAACAGTCGACTAAAGTTTCATCCATTCATCTATCAATCCATCCATCCATCCTGGTCACGGTCATGGGGTAGTTATTGGGGTAGTTCATTTGTTACTTCACTACTAATTGTAACCAATTCCTCATAGAAATAAGACTATTATTTATATTTCTTGATGACTCAAACTTTTTCTTGTAAACACAGAGAAATCGTGCTTTTCCTTTAATCAAATCAAATATATCTTAACTGCGTACTAGTGCATTATTTTAATCAGTATGATCTCCAGCAATAAAACAGCTTTTCTTCAACAATGTAGAAGTCTAGCTGATCCAGCCTACGACTTAATTTTTCATTCATACAATGAATTTTAGAAGAGCAACATATCACAGACATGTTACATCACATTTATTTATTTAACAGACACTTTTGTCCAGTTCTATATACACCTGTGGCATGAGAAGCATTCCGGTAACAAGGAGCCAGTAGCAGGCACATATAATTACTGTACTTTAAGTTACAGACTCATACTAGCCTTTGAAGCGTTTGTTTGACACGCTTAACAACTAATATCAGGTTAAAATAGGCATACACATTGTCTGTGGCCCCAAACACAGTTTCACAACAAAATATACCAGATATCAGTTTAAGAACTTCATAATATGAAATGGCAGCAAGAGCCGGGAATAGTACAGCATTTTCGCCAGCTCGGGAGGATGCACAGGGGCAGCTGATGCTGATTATCAAATGTTTAAAGTGTCCCAGCCCGTTCGGCAAGGTCATGTCATGTAGCCCAATAAAGATGCAAAGACGGACAAGCAAAGACTGCCTCCCATATACATAAGTACCATCCATATTCCCTTCAATCTACTTTTCATAAAAGCTCACCCAGTATAGCCGATATTATAGGCAATTTGAAGGTACCAATTTCTGACTCCGGGAGAAAGTTCGATTACCTGCATGGAGGAAAAACTTGTGGGAACATGAGGAGACTGCAAAAACCCCATATATATACATGCCTAGCTGTGATGGAAATTGAACCCAAAATGTTTTCCAACGTAAAGTTGTGCTTTTGGGGGCATCTTGCACACTTTCAAAAGTGAATTTATTCCCGGGTAAGTTACACTGTTTTCTTTTTATTTTCTATGAGGTTGTTAACATCATCTCAATAAAATTTTACAATAAATGATGATATTGATACGGTCGATCATGAGTCCAACCCAATACATTACAGATACGTTACGTTGCATTTCGATGCACGGAAATATCACATGTCATAATTAGTGCTAAGCGAATTATAATAAACTTTGAAATCCAACAATAAAAGACTACGACTTCACGATGTTCGAACGTGCCATTGACTGCTTTTTCTTAAAGACAGAAATATATCCTACCGAGATGTCCACTGTAGGACACAGGACGACAAACTGCCCTCGGAAACGAGTGCCGATCCAGGCAAAGAGATTTTCTTTCTTATCAACGTTACTGTCAATGTTTAGTTCTGTTTTATATTCATTTGTTTATATGAAAGATAAACCGAAAAATGCAGCAGCTTGTCAATTCAGATTATCGGATGGTAATTTAAAAGGAATCCTCAACAATCATTACATTTTATTCATCGTAAAGCTAAATTTATTAGGATCAACGTTTTTCTTGCACTGCATCTATATCCAGCAATGTGCCGGTCATATACCCAAGTCACGTTGCCTATTTGCCATAACCAAGTCACATTAAAAAAATAATCAACCAACAAGAAAATTAAGAATGATTAAAAAACATAAGGCACGATCCAAAAATGTTTTGAACGAATTACTGCAGATTTTTTCCTTCAACGTGCAATCTGTTGGGGTCCTCGCGGTGGCGGAGTGCTTAGCACTGTTGCCTCACACCTCTGTGACCGGGGTCTTCGCCCCCCCCCCGAAACCCACCCACGAAATAGACCTTTGTATTCAAATTGAGTTGCGACCCCCTAATATCAAACTCCCTCCTACGCCGTGTGACGCCTGTCCCCTGTGATGGGCTGGCTCCCCATCCTGGGTTGTTCCCTGTTAGGATCCGGACCCCCATGACTCTGCACAGGAGCAGTGGGAATATAGGATGAATGGATGGATGTTCTTTTATTTTGATCATCTTCATGAAAAGCAAATGCACACTGAAGTGAGTATAATTCAAATAACATAAAAAACTATAGTGCCATAAAACGGGTCAGACAGACAAATAGCCTATAGGCCTACTATAGATGGAATTCGTATTGTACAAACATATCTTCAGAAAGTTTAAAGAGTCCAACCATTGCCCCAGGATGTCGTACAATGCCCCTGTAATATCCTCGCTTGACCAGTATAGGATTTGTTAGGCTATATTAATAGGTATCAGTCTTCATTCTTACCTTAAGAGCTCCGTGGTGTGTCTCACTTCATGTATGACTAATCGAATTAGAAGGTGTCTTAAAATACTTTATTTTTCTTTAACTGTAAAACGTAGTTTTTAAGCGAAACATCGCGGAGTCTGGGTCCTAGAGAGGGGAATAGATACATGTCCGTGTATATGATGTTTAATTTACTGTATTAATATATCAGCTTAAACATCCAACGCATGATAAAAACAGGTTGGTTCTTCTTTAAAAAAAAAAAAAAAAAAACATCTATCAAAATGTGCGTGTGGCGGGGGTTAATTTTACGATATATTTCTCTGGTCCAAATACCCAGCGGTGCGGCAGACGGCGAGTCCGCCCAGTCCGCCCAGAGGTGCTCGAACAGGGGGGCGTGGTCACGACGGGGTGGTCGACCTCGGGTAATTTCGCCTCATCATAAGTTAGAAGATAAATTGGAACATCAAGGTGGGGGGGACACTTCCAGTAGCTCAGGCGGAAAGAGCTCAGGCGCGCCCAGACGCACGTGCCTGCTGTCCAGTCCTATATAAAAGATGTCATTTGAAATGTTTCACAGAAAATTAAACATATGCTGATACAGCGGGGAAAATAAGTATTGAAAGCGTCAACATTTTTCTCAGTTAATATATTTCTAATGGGCTATTGACATGCAATTTACACCAGATGTCGGTAACAGTTCAAGTAATCCACACATACAAAGAAATCAAAACAAATAAGCACACAAATTAAGTTATGTGTAATAAAGTGAAATGACACACGGAATAAGTATTGAACACACTTACTGAAATGTATTTAATACTTAGTAGAAGCTTAGTAGGAGCTGTGTCTCCAACAGCATCACCACCAACACAGGATCTCCACAAGGGTGCGTACTCAGTCCTTTACTGTACACACTCTACCCTCATGATTGTAAGGCCACTTACAGCTCCAACACCTTTGTTAAGTTTGTGGACAACACAGTTGTGCTGGGGCTCATCACCAACAACGATGAGTCGGCCTACATGGCTGAGGTGGAGAACCTAGCAGCGTGGTGTCATGACAACAGTCTCCAGCTGAATGTCGACAAGACTAAGGAGCTCGTGGTGGACTCTGTTCCTGTGGAGTTTTAAATATCTGGGTGTCCACATTTCTGAGGATCTGATGTGGACTGTTCACATCCAAGTCCAGTCCAAAAAGGGCTAAGCAGCGCCTGTACCACCTGCGACAGCTGAGGAAGTTCAGGGTCTCTCCAACGATCCTACGGACTTTCTACTCAGGCGCTGTGGAGCAGTACCTTCAGGATCATCAGGGACACATCCCACCCGAACAACAGCCTGTGTCTGTGTTAACGTTCATTTTGAATATACTTTCTCTGCTTGCATTTTAGCTTGTATTTTAGCTCTTTTTGCGCTTTAACTTTAGCACAATTGGAGTTTTAAATTTGCACAGTCTACAAAAGAGCACTTCAGGATGCATTTCACTGCGTGTTGTACTTTGTATAACTATGTATGTGACAATTAAAGAATCTTGAATCTTGTATAGAGAAACTAGTCGCATGCATTGCTCAGGTGTGATTTTGGCCCATTCTTCCACACAAACTCACAAGTCTTCAAATCTTGAATCACAAGTCTTCAAATCTTGAAGGTTCCATTGATTTTCAATTGGATTGAAGTCTTGAGATTGACTGGGCCATTCTAGCAGCTTTGTTTTCTTTCTCTGAAACCGATTGAGAGCTTCCTTGGCAGTGTGTTCGGGATCATTACTTTGCTGAAATGTCCACCCTTGTTTCATCTTCTGGACCCTGAATGTCTCGCTACATTTCTTCATTCATCCTTCCTTCAATTATATGGAGTCTGCCAGCACCATATGCTGAAAAACAGCCCCACACCATGATGTTCCCACCCCCAAACTTCACTGTTGGGATGGTGTTTTTGGGGTTATGTTCAGTGACATTTCTCCTCCAAACATGGTGTGTGCTATAACATACACAG